GTCACGCCGCAATCCCTTCTCCTCCATTCTCCTCTCGGGATCTTGGGCACGCACGCACACGCGCCCGGCGTGAGTTTTAAGCCACCGGGTCCGGGACACGAACCGCGGTCGACTACGTGGGAGTCCAGCGACATAGCCATTACGCTAACTGCTGGTTCCCTCCCCTCACTTTTTAATATATCGGGACAAAATGCGGACGCGGAGACCATGAGCACGCCTGCAGTGCCGAGCTCAGCCTCTTACCCTCCTCCTCCTTGGGGTCCAGCTGCGTGACTTTCACCTGGAGTCGGTCTACCCTCTCAGCAAGGAAGCTTACCCGAGAGGCAAAGGTGTTGGCCTGAGCAAAGAGCTCTCCAAAAATGTCCTCTGCGTATTTACCTGGAAAAACAAAGACACGAAGTCACTAGTGCAGAGAAGTAGCCGACCGTCAGAGAAGCTAGTTACTGAAGGTCATTGCCACCCTATACCCAAGACAGCCTGCGCTGTCCCCGGGGGCTCCTAACTAAAAATCTGCTTGGCAAACTCTGAACTGTCGTGACTCAAACAGGCTAAATAAAATCGAAAGGGTGATACAAAAACATCAGTCCTAGAGCGGACAGTGCAGTGTGTGTGCACACCTGCCTCTAGCCTTTGGCACTAACTGTCCTGCAAATGTTCCGGAAAACAGACTGGGAATCAGAGGACCTTCTAGGTGTGTACCAGCAGCATGAGAACCCAGAAACTGCTTCAATGAAGCCTCGCAAGTACAGCGGACGATGGTCGGCTGCAGTCCCTGGGGCCTGTCCATAGCACAGAGGGGCGTGACTTCACCAGGCAGGCTTCCTGTTCCATAGGTTGGGTCACTGTCCTTCTTGTCTACATCCCAGGGAACAAGTGAAAAGCTGAAACTTTCAAGCCCTCCCTGAAAATCAGCACACCAGTGACCTCTTTCCACAATGTCTTGTTTTTTTAGAAAAAGAATTCTATATTTTCAACCCTGGAATGCAAGGAGAATTTGCAGCCAAAGAAACACACCAGCATCAGACACTCCCTCCACGTGGTCGTTCTAGGCCATGAGGTGCAGCCCCAGGGCAGAGAGCAGTGCCCATGGATAAACACCTCTGGGCTGATGTGCACGTGAGACCAGGCACAGCACCCACACCAACCAGAAGGTGGCTTCTTGGTGAAATGCTTAGAGCAGGCCCTGATTTTCTGCCCCTGAACTATGCTTATGCTCAGCCCATACATGAGAGGGAAAAGCTGGCCTGCAGTGCCAAAGCACTTCATGTAAACTGCCACTCACCCTTCCAGCAAGACGGGGGGTAAGGGTCAGACTGATGGGCTGCGTGTCTGTACCGCCCAACTCCACGTCCACAGGGGGCTTCTACCGGAGGAAGCACCGGGCCCTTGCACACTCTGGTGAGCCATCTAAACCACCACGGGCAGTTCCCAAACGCCAAGGGCTCAGACCCACCGAGGATCTCTCTGACCCTGTCCATAAACCGCACTGTACCGTGCTCACTGGGTAGAAGGAAGCTCTCTGGGAAGCCAAAGCAGAAATGTGTGCAAATAGACCAGGCTCAGAAATACCTGATCCCCAGCTGCCTCAGAGGGGGCTGCCCAGGATCCCTGCTCTTCTAAGAAAGAGGCAGTGAGGGTGGGAGGGTAGCCAGCACCTGGGCTCCCAGGTAGACTGGGAGCTGCACCACAGGACACAAAAGCCCCAGTGGGGTTCACCAGCAGGTCTGGACCTAAGCTCAGCTCTTCCTGTTTTTATGTAGGGTCTCTTCAGCAAGTCACGACCTCAGCCTTTGTCTCCTCATCTGTAAAATGGAAATAACTGAGTCTACCTCACCAAGTGCTCACAAGGGTTACATGAGTAAAAACGTTAAGCTGTTACAGTAAGATCATTTATTTTATTTTTAAAAAAGAGTTTTGCTACAGGGCGCATGCGCTTACAAGAGAGACAGAAATCCATCCCAAGAGAGGATGGCTGCAACTCCTTCTCCTCCAGTCTCTTCTTGGGGTTTGGGACATGTATGCACACCTGCCCAGCCTGAGTTTCAAGTCGCCAGGTCTGGGACTCGAACTGCAGTTGGCTATGTAGGAGTCTAGCGACATAACCATTCCATCTGCTGGTTCCACAATAACAGTCTCCACTTTTTTTTGAGAGAGAGTTTTTTTTTTTGCTATAGGGCGCGTGTGCTTGCCAGAAAGAGAGACAGACAGAAAGCGAGAAATCACCTCCAGGGGGGATGGCCACACTGCAATCTCTTCTCCTCCCTTCTCCTTCTGGGCTTTTGGGCACACATGCGCACAGACCCCGCGTGAGTTTAAGCCATCGGGTCCGGGACTTGAACCACAGTCGACTACATGGGAATCCAGCTTTCCCTCAGCAGAACTCTTCGATGGAATGCCAAGTGGGTGTGGAGCAGGAAGAGCTGACCTCTGAAGATGGGCATGCTTCTGCAGCCAGTGGAAGCCGCCCCCGCCCACACACAGGAGTGGGAAAAGTCCAGCAGCAAAATCCGACTTCCTGAAGGCCCAAGGGGCTCCACTCCTCTGGGAAGCCACAGAAC